CTGCTGCAACTTACTGCTCTGTGAGAACCATAATGATCAAGAAAAAAATCCCAGAGAAACTCCTCAGAGAAAACTGTCTCTCCAGAAAGAAAGGAAGCAGAGAAGAGCAAGAGAAGTTGGAATAGGGTCATCCTCACCTCTCCAGCTATTTGACATTAAAGCTGATAAAAAGAAGTATCCACGTTACGACAGCCTCTGTGATTTCACAAAGGTAATAAATCCAAATCAAGTGGTCCTGTCTTTCAGTTTTTCTGAACAATGACGAGTTTGAGAATACCTGTTTCTCACCTTGCTGCAGGCATCACTTTGGGATCTGATAGCACCAAGAAACTAGACCTTACCCAGGCTTGGTGTTTATACTGTCAAGGTCCTTGATTAAATATTGAATAGTACTAGATGCAGGACAGAATCCCAGTCTATCTTTTCAGTTTGACATGGTACTATTCATATGTATTTCCTGAGTTTTCCATGAAGTTCTGCAAAGCTTCAGATACCCCACATTTCCCTAGAGTTTCTGAGATTGTGTCAAAGGCACATTAAAGAGAAATAAATTATATTAATGGCTTCTCTCCTGAGAACAGACCGCCAGCTATGTCATCAAACAAAACTAAGTAACTTTGACATTATTTGGTGAGTACCGACTCTTTCTGTTTTCCTCCCAGTGCTTAGAATTTGCTTATTTTTCCAGGATATTCTGAGAAGTGTAATCAGGCTGACACATTTTTAACACTACAACTTCTTTTACCTTCTGAAGACAAGCAAATGTTTGACCTTTTCCATCCTCCACAGGTTCTCACAGATAATTGCTAATAGCTCTGAGGCTGATACTGTTCTCGAAGTGCCTTGGGATAAATCAACCCAACCAATCTGAAAACATCACATTTATCTAGTTATTTTCTAACCCCTTCTTCCTAATCTAGACAAAAATCTTCCATGAACATCAGTGGTGTAAATGTATTGGCCTCTGGATCACCATGGCCATTTTCATTGAGAACCAAAGCCAAAAAAGGCATTAAATTGCGCCCCCGCCGCAGAGCCCTCCTGATGTACTGCAGTTTTAAGAAACCAGCACTTTCCTTGGTACTTCTACCAAAACACAGAATTTTTCTTCTTTATTACTTATATTTGCTTTGTGTATAAATTTTAAGGATACACAGAGAAAATCTGCCAGGTAACACATCTAGAAGTTCTAGATGTTAAAATTTTCATCTCATCTCAATAGCCACTGGCAAACTCTTCAAGGAATGAGTTTCAAGGAATGCAGCAGCATCCACTTCGGGCTGTGCCTCTGACACTGTGCAACACTGGAATATGTTTGTTAAGGCTCAAGAAGCAAGGGCAAGAATTGTGTCCTTACTAATGTGGGAATTTGTATTAAATAACTCCACCTTACTCGATTTCTTGTCGTTTTCTCTTATTCTTTTATAGAAGCCACACTTCTTTCCCCATTAAAGGGAAATACTTCTCACGGGTGGGAAGGGCCCACTTTTTTCCTGTAGATGCAGCACAGTGCAGAGTAGAAACATCTACACTGGCTTTGCAAGAATTAACTTTGATGTCAGGAAGAAGCTCACTGCAGAAAGGCAAAATCGTGCCTGGACTAATTGTTCCACTGGAAACCAGGGCAAGCTCCCTGCTCCAAGCTCAGCACAGCTGAGCTGGTCTGCTCCTGCTCCCTGAGCAAGGCCTTTCACAAGCAGTTCAAAAGTCTTGGTGCTGTGTGCACTCCTAATGTCCAAAGACAGCTGTGCAACCACTCTGCCTTCTCCTCAGTGGGATATTTGACATAAGTGCTTGCTTTTTTATTTATTTTCTTTTTAAGTGTGCTCTCTCTTCCCACCAGAGTGATGAATTTTATGTGTTCCTCTTGTTCCATTGCAGTCACGCCTTCCCACACTCCCAAATCATGACATTTATCACCATCTTTTGTAGCTGATACAATAGACCAGTGTCAGCTTCCTTCTGTAAGTTCAGAAGGCAAGCACCAGGAAGAGAAATAATTTGAGCTACTAGAGGTTTGCGTTTGCTCAGTCTTCACCTTTCCTTGCTGTTTTATCTGTCTTCTATCAGAAAAAAACCTAAATTCTCACTGACGGTAAGGCCTTCTTCCTGGAACTGCTTTATTTTTCCTACCTTTCTCCTTTCCTTAGAATTCTTCTTTTTTATTATCACCAGGTAAAAAAAGGAGTGCTAGGCCAGCGTATATTTTAAATGCAGTAAGCAGTGATTATTTTTCTTAACTTCTTACCTCTGAGAAAATGTTTTCTCCTCTGTTGAGTAAAAATCTGTGAACACGAAAACATTTTACAAGTTAATTTCAGGAAAATCATGTTTTAACAAGGTTATAAATAAATATATGTGTATATATATGTATATAATTATTATAGCTGTCTCTCCCTAAATGCCTTTAGAGCAAAGACATTAAATTTTTTCTCTTTTTATATTTTAGCCTCAGTTTTATATATAAGGAGATTACCTATCACACATGCTGACAGAAACTACTCCAGAGTCAGAGAGTTGTGAAGCCACCTTCACCAGATAACTCCTCTGGGTTCAGTGTCCTTGCAGAATTCAGTGGAAAGGGAGACAGATGAGCACAGCAGCACTGTAAGGTTCCGAGCCTCTCCAAGAGACACATGAACCCAGAATCTTCAACTTTGCGTCTCTACGTTTCCTGTATTCCCTTTATAGCCAGATTTTCCACTGTATAGTTGAACAGTTGCATGGTGCTGCTCTGGGGAGTCACAGGGGGAGAGCTCAGCAATGAGGAAGGACAGGGTGATAAAGGACAAAGCAAAGAGTTCCATATCTGATAAAACCACCATGCTAAAGCCTGACCATCTTCCCACATTTGCAAACAAAACTGAACTTCCAGTTTGTTTCCAGGAAAACAGTGTGGCCTAACCAAATCAGTGAGTCCCCTTCCCTGTAAGTCAATCCTTCTCAACTGGTCACCCAGGCCAGCTCCTGATCCTTCTTCAATGTTTTATCTACAAGGATTTAAATTTTGAAGTCCGATCTAAAAAGTACAAGACAGAGGCTGACCTACACACTGATGTGACAACAATCCAGAACAGCAGTCCTTTAAATTGAGCCCCATGAGAACAAAACAGGCACCAAAGTACAATCAGCTTTACAGGCTAAAAGCAACTAACCTCAGCCATCACAGAGAAAGTAAAAAAGGTGATGACCTGGGAGCAACAAGCTGAGCTGTGGACTGACACTAGCAGGCTGCTTAGCATCCGTGATAAAGAGGACAGAAAGTGTGTCAATCCCCCTCGTCTGTCCTGAAAGGGGAGCCTGAGCAAGCCATGAGAAATAATGTAGAAGCAGCAAACAATAGAAGAGAGAGAGGTGAAGGATATGGTGAAGGTCTCCAAGACACCCCTTAAGACCAGCAGCCCTGGAGCAACACAGCTCAGCAGCCTGGCAGCAAAGGCACCACGCAGCCAAGGCTGAGAGAGTTGGCCTGGAACTTAAGAGTGGCAGCTGGGCTCCTCTCAAAGCTGCCCTCAGCTTTGTTGGCCTTGTGCGGCAACATCAGCTGGGATTTAAAAGGCTTTTAAAAGCTCCAAAAGACCAGGCTTTATTAGAACATGAGCTAAAGTGAATAGCTTTAAAAATAGGTCAGGCAAGAACAGAAATGCAAAGGCTCTGAAAAGCATACCTGTCCCGCCTCCCTGCGCTGAGCCTCCGGCTGCTGTCCTGCTGTCATTTTATTGGGTTGCCCATTTTGGGGGGCTTGTGTCATTTCCATGGGTACAGGCAACTCAGCCTGCTCCAGCTGCACACAGGCTTTTCTGAGCAAGCTTCCATATCAGGCTTATTTATGAGCTTCCCTTGGAAGGGTGTCTGGGAAGCGTGTGACCATCGGGAATGACAGCGTCACACGGCAGTGATGTTAATGCTTGTGATGCTACTGATGTTTCCAGCTTCATTTTTCGGAAGCAATGACAGCTCTAATGCCCCCAGATCACAGCATTTTCTGCTTTGCCTTATCTATCTGTGCACACGTGCAAATCCACAGAGACTTTGACATCAGTTTTTAATGGGGCACACAGTTTTCTGTCAAATAAAATGTCAGGATGTGATCTTCCATATTTCACTAGTGCTATTCTACCAGTTAATTTAATAACAGCTAAATATCAAGTGCTTACTACTTTGATGCTGTGTTCCATCAGCTATTGAATTAGAAATAATGACACAGGTCTAGATCTGTGATTCATGGTAAACTGCCTAAACTATTCTCCATCACACAGTGGCTGACATCTAGTGATAACTGATTTAACAGATGTTAAATGTTTAGCTGTCCTATCCTCTCTCACAGAAACAGGAATATTAATGAAGGACAAGTTTACTCACACTTTTCCAGACAATATAAATAAATTTATATTCACCACAGGAACCAATTTTTTCCTTTTCTGCTATTATAGACTCTTTGGTTGAATTTGACCGGTATTTTGTGTATATGACAAGCTCTTGTAGCCTCGGGTATACTGCTGAACTTCTGAGGCGATCAGGAAGTATGTCTGGTGTTTTCTACGTGTATTTTTTAATTTACCATCAGCTCTAATTACAGCAGGCTCCTCACCCAAACTGCCCCTTGGAGGATCCCCTTGTACCTTCTGCAGCAACCACCCAGCACTGATCCTAACAGGAGACAACACACAGCTGTAAACAGTTGCTCTGTTAGAAAGGACTTGCCAAAAATTAAATTGGCAAAATTTTAAAATGTTGGAAGTGTCTGCCCTAAAAGAAATCCTCTCTCTCTATCTTCACTCTTCACCATCTGTCAGCCTGCACCTCTTCTCTGATGGACTCAGACCAATTATCTTCTGGCAGATTTAAAGATGTCTTATATGCATTCTGCTGCATCAAATCTAGAATTTTTCAGGGAACTGTAAGTCAAGCATAAATAAAAACAGTTGCTAATTTTTCCTTTATATATTTTATTAGTAACCATCAACAAAAAGTTGACTGAAATGTTATGAGTGAGACAGTAATATAAAGAGGCAGAACTTTCCAGGTATGTTTTTCCAAACTCCATGGCTTTAGCAAACAGGACAACTCAAAGATAAAGAGTTAATTTTTGAAGTCTGCCAGTCAACTTCGTCAGTTGCTCACCAGCGCACCAGACTGAAATCTGCCAGGCCAGATAGCAACTGCATGGTGCCTTTATGGCTGAGAATGATGCTGTGTTCCAGAGCAAAAGAACTTTTACCAAAAAAAAAAAAAAAAATCAACTTCAAGAGCAGGCACCAGGGTCTGATCAACATTACCTGCTGTAGACAAAAGGTGGCTTTTGGAGCAGAAATTCATATCCAAGGTGAAGAACATTATATGGTCTCAAGACATACATTCACAAATGTAAATAAGATTGCTTAATAGATGGGCTGTGACATACTGCACGTGTCCTCCCTAGCGTGGAATGGCACAAATCCTGTACGGGTGGGGCTGCAGTGTACCCCCCAAAATGGGTTCTGTGTTGATCTTCGTCACCCCCTCGGGGAGCCGGAAGGTGAATGCCCGCAGCAGGCTGGCAAAGAAAATAAAGAGCTCGGTCCTCGCTAGATGCTCCCCCAAACACACACGGTGCCCTGCAGCAGGAAGAGGGGGAGGACAGTGAGTAAATTACCCTGACCTCAAAAGCAATGGTATTCTTCCACACACAAAGCAAAAGTATTTTTCCTGAGTCCAGAATTTCTTTAGGACTTAATGCAACCAATGGCACAAAACTTCATGTAATTCTTCCTTTAAAGAATCCCATCTGCAGCTATGGATCACTGTGCAGCCCTGCTGCTCCGAGTTTCGCTTCAATTACCTTAAAAAACTAATCTTCATTTGACTGACAACTTTAAAGGAATTTGTTCAATCATGTAAATGAAGAATAAGGACTTGTTCTTCCTGGGAGATGTCGCACTGCGGTTTTGTATACATAAAACATCAGCACAGCTGCTTGCAAGTACTTCCCAAATGTATGTCTGGTGTTGAACTGTAGGCCCCAAATCAATAACCATAATCATTAGCAGAGAATTTCCTTCCAAAAATAGGGTCAGTTAGATGTATCCATTTGTTGGGACATCTCTGATTTTCCATGTTCAGTAAACCAAATGTTTATAGTTGGATTGGGAAATATTATGTAAAATGGTCATGTTTATGTTATCACTGTTTTCCACAAAGAGGTTTAAAATAAATGAACAATAGGTTTTAGTAGACATCTTAATTGTATAGTCCCAAACCAAACCATCAATGTTTGTGCTGTCAGCCCATTTACCTATTGAGAATGGCAGAAAGGCTTCTTGGCTCACAAAGTTTCCATCCTTATCCAGGAAATGACCAGGGTTGAACTGTTGAGGTGTTTCCCACTGCTCGGGGTCATACAAAGTCGAAGCAATATTTGGAAGAACTATGGTGCCCTGAAAGGAGAAAAACACTCACTTGGTTCTGGCTGTCAACCCTCCCCCAGCAGTCGGAACTGGCTAGGTGAGGCCAGTGTTACTTTACTTCCAGAGTTCAGTATTGTGTGCTGGTAGGTTCATTTCCCCAGTAGGAACTGTGAGGAATGTGAAGTCTCTTTATTTCAGAACGTCAGTCCAAGCCTGACAGTGGAAGTGGCCACATCAATAGAAACTAACAATTTTATTTGTAATAAACCCATTTTCACTTCTAACATCAGAAGTTTCTCTGATTTAGTCTCTTTGACAAAAGCTAGTTGCAAATATTCATGCTTTTCTCTGGATCTTTTACAGGCAAAAATTCAGCCAGAAATCATTGCAATGCCTTACAAGCACAAATCAATCACTGTATCCTTCGGTGTCAATCTTTAAGGTTTTGTCTTCACTGGTTTGTAGAAACACTTGCTAAAATCACCTCTTCCATCCGGGGGCATCTTTCACTACTGATAACCCCCTCCCAAAGAGTTGCATCACTCAACTCAGTCTGGCAGATGGTTCCTTGTCCTTGTTCCCACTCAGGCTATGAGCCAGAGGTATCCAGCCCTACTCTTTTTGAGGAGAAGACCCTGGCACAAATAGATTTTAATCCACACCTAACTCTACTGATGCAGGAAGGGTCTGCAGCAACTGAGAAACTGTGCCTGTACCTTTTTGAGGGGAAAGCCAAGCAACGTCGTGTTCCTCACACACACTCTGGGCATGCCAACCGAGATAATATTGCTGAAGCGCTGAACCTCATGAACCACAGCATTTGTGTAGGGCAGTTCTCTCCGATCCTCATAGCAGATTAATTGGGAAGGACTCAGAACGGCATCCAGCTCCTTCTGCACTTTCTCTGTGGAGAAATATTCACCATTTCAGGTGGAAAAATATATCCAATATTTTCACTAATTCAATTTTTAAAGATGTTTCCCATTTAGAACTATGAAGACAGCAACAAAATTAATGTAAAAATGTAACTTTTATAAAGAAAATAAAAGTAGCAGGGTGCTCCAATAGCGTAAACATATGGGAGCTTTGCTTCTGAGTCTGAAGTTATTTGATTGAAAATTAAGAAAATACATTTGTTGCTCAAAAATTTAAAACTCTTAAAGAGTTGCCTTACTAACACTTACATGCGAGAGACAAATGATTTATCGTTGTGTTTTCTTTTGGCTAGGTGCCTCAGGCACCTACAACCAGTTAGAATCACTAAGCTCACAGCTTCCTGGAATTTAAGCCAGGTGAATCCAGGAATTAAAAGCCTAATTCCGACTAAAAGGAAATGGTTCTTATGTAGGATGTCTGTTAAGTGAAGCAATGCCAACTAGAACAATGTCCAAATACCTTTAAGAAAACCCCTGGATCTGCTTCTTGGTCATCTGCCTTTTGATCAAGAATAGCATGATTTAAATTACCTACTGCACAGGAGTGTTGGGAGTATTAACAAATGTATAAAATTTGTTTTGTAAACTTCAAGAGAGGCAGTATACATATAATAAAAATGCCTTGGATTTTTAATAAATGGTCCTGTCTTTTTCCAGGTCCTTTGAAGCAACACTAAAATGCAGGAAAGCCTATTCTGCATCGATCAGTTTGTGCTCACTCACATCAAGCCTGCCCAGTGACTGCCAGCAGTCCCTCACAAAACTATGTTAGGTAGACTCTGACAACAGAGATTTAAGCACCTTACAGAATTTAAAATGTATATCCAGAGAGATTTTTAAGTAAGTTTCTTTCTGTGAAGAACTAGCCTGCAAAATCAAGCACAGCTACTTCAGGATCCAGTATAGTTTGAAGTGATCAGTCACTGCAGTATAAATATACATCTCTGTTCCAGTAGTTCAGAGAACAAGGAGAACTTAATTCAGAGATTGTGCAAAAAGCCAAACTTTTCCTTATGGTACATAATGGAACTGCATAACATTGTCAATGGGTGTCAACACAGGCAAAAATGTATAAACAGGCTCATAAAGAAGCCACCAATTAAATGAGGACAGATATACTGGTATCAGTTCATTATGAGAGTCTAGATGCAATGTATGACTCAAGAAGCCCAGGAAGGATCATTCTGCACACACCCTGCTTTCCCAAGTATGTGCAAGACATATTTAGACAAATAAAATTATTTAGGTGAGACAGCGCTTTCATAACATTAATTACATTACGTGACAATAAACATGCAATAACACGAGATTAAGACCATCTTGTTTGACAGCTACAAGTTGAACCGTTTTTTACTACCTTCATCTCTTTCCTCAAACTCCAGTTCTCCTCTGGATATTTACAGATATTCTGCTATCTGTCAATATTTCTGTTATCCAGTGTAAGACAACATTCTTTCTTTGGTTTTCATTTAGTGCTCTATGAAAGTGATTGATGGTTACTTAAAACCCAGGTCTAAGAATAAATTTCTTAAATACACATAACAGATGAGACATCAGATTCCCCTCCTGACTGGAATAATTTCTGTTGCAAGAAACTCAAATAAGTCACAGAGTTAATTTAAACACAGATTAAATAGACACCCTGATACCTTGGGATCATAAATGGACTGATGGACAAAAATAAAGTCAAAGTTGCCAATTGACGTTTAGGTGATTATTTTTACTACTTCTGTGACCCACAGAGCACAAAGAAGGGCAGGACTCCCTGTATCCCCCATCACTGATACTTCGCCAATACAAAGCAGAACTGACTTCAGTTTCCAAGGAGTGACATTCCTACTGTCACACATCAGTTTCTGGTTAGTTATTTTTAACCATCAGTCGTGTTTACAACTAGGATAGAACTCAACTCAGTTCCCTGAAGTACCTCACCAACAGCTGCAGCAGTGGCCACTGTTCCTTCAAGGATTGTGTGTGCAAACCCTCTGGCTTCCCAAACAGCAACTCCAGTCCTCTTACTCCACTGACTACCCTACCCCAGCCTTCATATCCCCAAAGACCTCAACCCCTCCATCTCAATCAGCCACCACCTCCTATACGTATGCATACTTCCCAAACTGTTATCTCTTCCTAGGAACTGCCTTATGCTTGGGACTGCTGTGAGAGCTTGTATACAGATGCTCTGGATCTACCAATGCTGCCCAGCACAGATCTACCAGTACAAAAAGATCCATGGGTCACTAGCAATATACCAATATCTAGGAATAACCTCTGATCATGAAAATGTTATGGCTTGGCTGTTCTATTGCATCGGAGATGCTTATGACATGCTTATACACTTACCTTGGACATCTGGATTTGCCACCATATAGAGCAGGCCCCAGTTCAAAGTAGTGCTTGTTGTCTCTGATCCACCCAAGAAAAGGTCATTTATAGAATAAACCATGTTTTCTTCATTGTATGTAGACCTGGGTTCATCTTTGGACTGCAAATGGTAAGATAAAGTAGAGTTTTATACATGAAAGTTAGAAAAATCAGAATAGCTTTAAATGTGATTTTACAACTGGTTCCAAGCTGTAGTGTGTTCTGCCTATATTGCAATACAGAGAGACTGATAGAGAATATTAGACACCAAAGATGATTATCAATACGAAAAGCTAACGTTTCATAAATGGACAAGGCATGTTTACTCTTTATCATTAAGCTAAATCGTATGTTCTCCACAAAAAAGGATCATTGGCCTAATTGTGCAAACAGTGACACATTTAGCATGTTTCACAAGTAAATGTTCCTCTGGAGATGTGTACCAGCATGTCATTCTTCACACCTCAAGTCATATTCCATCACTTAGTTTTTCTACCAAGCAATATAGTGACCAGGGCTGGGGCACAACTCTGGGCTGTCAAAAGTTCTTACCCTGTGGTGTTCAGGCTTCATCTCCACTACAAGGCCACAATGACTCACATATGGCTGCTCCGAGGTTTTATAGTCTTCAGTTAGAAGTGTGGGGATACGTACATATATGCTGATACATGAAAAAATATTGTTGTGGTTTGGGGGAATTAATTGTCTAAATTTAAGGAAGTTATGCTTGGTGTCTTGAGCTTATCTTTTGCCAGTGGAGCAACTGGAAAGTGGGAAGGATGTTTTTCACTGTTGTAATATCACCTAATCTTTTTATATTGCTCCTGCATATCTATTACAGACAGTTCAATTTTTTAAATAAACAAACTTGGATGTTTTCCACCCAAGAGTCCTAGAACAGCTCACTGAAACAGTCTGGTCCACTTATGTTCAAGTCTCATAAATCTTAGAATAGTAGTGAAAGACTTTAGAAGCAGTTAAATGCTTTGGAAGACCAGATGTGTTAATATTGTGCCAGTATCAAAAAATTTAAAAGAAGAAGATCCAAGGAACTAGAAACCAGTTAGGCTGACATCCACCCTGGACATAAAAGTACAGCAGCTGATATAGGAATCAATTAATAAAAAATTACCAGCTAGAAATGCAAATTAATGCTCTTTATTATGATATAGAAAACTGATCTTGGCAAAGAGATCCGATTTGATTCTTTGACAGAATTACCAGCTTGGATGGTAATGACATTTTCACATTTGCACTATACTTGGAGTTCCAACAGGTAGTTGCTTCTGTTCCCCACAATAATAAAGCACTCATAAGACACATGCTAAATGACTAAAGAGCTGGCTGAGAGAAGCAGCTAACACTCCTCCCTGGACGCCTGTCTCTGCAGTGTGACTGAACACAGCAGCAGGGCCAGCTCAGGGGAGTGCAGAAGGCTGGCAGCGGTCCGGGACGGCAGGTTGGCTTCAGCTGTGCCAGGAGAAACAGGATGGACGCCTACAGCCTGGTGAGGCTGCAGAGCCCCGTGTTGGTGCAACCAGCACATGACCACGGGGGAATGGGGAAAGGCTGTCCCTGCAGGGAAGCACTGCCACTCAGGAGCAGCAGTCACTACTCACTTCCCCAGGGGCTGCAAGGAGAGATACCCCCCACCCTGGATATCTCAATTGGCTCTTTGAGCCGCTCTGGTCTTGTCACCTCCCAGTGACACCAGTCTCATCTTGTCACTTCCTCCACTTACTCATTTTTCTTCCTATCACCAAGCAGAACAGGAGGAGGAATGTGGCCTACTGCGGAGGAGACAAGGAGAAACAAGAGTGATTAAGTGGGGGTAGAAAGAGTCGCAGAGGGGAAGGGCAGCTGCTAGTCCAGGAATTAGGGAGGTGATCCAGTTCTCAAGGGATTCAGACAAAGAAAAATTGATTCTGGTAAGGTCTGGAAAAGGGAGAGATACATCTTATGCAAGCATCTTACAGCCTTTCAAAACCCTACAGATTCCCACCTATCTCTACTATACCTGCCTGCCCAAAATGCCCTTATTTGTCCCAGTCCCCTTTGTCTGCTTGAAACTTCACTGGCTCTGACACTCTTCTCCAGCCTTGTCTGAAACTCTGCTGACTCTTAGATTATTTCCCCACACATCCAGTTGTCCTCTTGCAGCAACCTCTCTAGATAAACCCTTACCAGACAAATATCCCATCCAGAACGTCTCATTCTGTCTCTCCAAGACCTTCCCGGTTATCTTGTGGTCCACTTAGAAATCCAGTATTCTTTCCTAGAGGCCTGAAACAACTTTGTAACTTGTGCTAATGAGAAAAAATTCAGTGTATTAACCTGACCTTTAATGAAAGGATTGCAAGGTGCTGTGGCATGTCAATAATTAAAAAGGATTTAGCAAGTCCCTGGTTACTGGATTCACATTAGGATGTCTATGAAAGGTAAGGCATTGTGATAGAAGGGCTCAGGTTGGATGATTTAATGGTCCATTTCACCTTATTCTCCATGAATGTATGATCAGGCAGAACTAATACTTACTTTTTCAATGTGATCCAGGTAAAAGTCAATGAAATCCTGCAATTCGTCTGGTGTCCCACGCTCTGTGTGCATTCTAATCTCTCTCCTTGTAAAAGAGCGCAGAACCTCATAGCAAGACAATGCCTTCTTATGAGGACCAGGGAGGCGGCACATCAACCAGGGGAAGATTTCGTATAGCTGTGTGAGTGACATACAAGAGGTACCACAAAGTCTCTATCACTAGAAAATGCATTTTAGGCCTACTAAAAAGAGAAGGTAATGCTCATGTTAGTATGTGATTTTGGCATCATTAGTAAAATATTCTGACAAAGACTATGCTTATGTTTTCAAGCTGCAAAACAGTATGCTATACAATTTCTAGCTGTGTGGAGGGTAAGATTCAGAGTTCCACAGGCTTTCAGCTCAACCACAAGCCAAATTAGAATGAATATAATTAGAATGAACTGTATTCATTTATTTAATTATTCAGTTCATGTGTTCAGTTACAATGAACTGTATTCAGACATTTAAAAAGGGAGACCCTGCCCTCCAGTGGAGAATACCAGGAAGGAAGAAGCAAAGCTGTTGCAAACTGTCCTCACCAGGATATGCAAAAGCAGTTGATAGAACCCACAGCAAGGGCCAGCTACCAGTGGCGGGTATACAGCCTCGATAATCCCCCAAAGCACTCTACAGCTCAAGCTCTCAAGTGTCCACAATAAAATTTGAAGTATCTGAAACCCAAAAAAAGCTGAGAAACAGCTATCTGACAATTTTGAGTGCTCCCCTCTAGTAAAGAAGGGGTTAGTGGACACAACCAGATTCATTTTATCCTTCTCACTTACTCTTTGGGAAAATCTGGCCTAAGGATAGCTGCTTTCTTCCTATTCTAATGGCTGATTTTTTCTGATTTTCAGCCTATATTTATGCCTGGGTAATTTGTATACATTGTTCTTGTATCTGCAGTGTATTTTCTCTTAACAGCTCTTCTGCTCGAAACATAATCCCATGATTTATTTATCAGCAGAAGTTCTATGCTTTCTCAGTCTTCATTTTGCTGAGCTCTTCTTGTACTCTCCTAATTATACTGCAGAAAGCACATTATTAGATGTTCACTGGAGTCTGGATGACTTAGATAGACTATACTTCTGACTTTTTGGAAAATCAGTTCTTATTGTCAGGCATCCAATTATCAATTAATCATTGTCTTATCACAGAAAGGTTGTAGTCCAGCCCTTGGTAAATCCACATAGAACTTCATATCCTTTTTGTTTAGTTCCATCTCTAGTATTTTTTTTCTTTCAAAATCTATTCAGAAGCCTTACATACAACTGTGGTCTGACTAATCATATACGGTTGCCCAGATTATATGCATTCCTGTTCTCAATGCATGCACTTTCCGGCTACTATGGCACCCTAACTGTAAGCTGAATTTAGCTGTCAGTGTTCAAATCAGGAACTGAGCCCATCCACCTTCCTGGCTACAGTCCTGCCGAAACTTCTCCTCCATTTCTGGAGGGGCCCAATCCACAGCATTCTCCCATTCAGTGCCTGACAGCATGGAATCCAGTTAAGAAATGGGGATGCAGATGCAGCAATGTCCACTTTTTATATAATACCAAGTACCTTTTGCACCCAGGAAGTGGGAAAATTGCAGCCCCCGCTCTGGAATGGTTTGAACCCCTGTTCCTATTTCTCAGAACAGCAAAGCTAGGATAGGAAGGAGAGAAGAAAAGGAGGTATATTCTCTATGCCAAAAGCACATCTTGCCTGCCACCACTACACACAACTTAAAGGACCAAAAGTAGGCTAAGCGAAAGGGAACCTGATCCTAACTCGGTGAGAAGAATGCTCCATGGGTTGTGGGGGGGAAATCTCTGTATTATGGGGACTGCTCATGTGTTTTACATTAAGAAGCTACTGCATCAGATGTATGGGACAACTTAAGAAGTGGAACCAGAACCAGAACTCCTGGGCAACCTTGAATCCATTTTTGTGCAAAGCAGGCCTCTTCTAGGGTCAGGTAAGTCCTTGACTCTCAGAATAGTGCTGACTGTTTTAACTGTCACGCTTACAGGTATATTTGCTGGCCTAATATTTCCTATCTTCTGCTATCTGCATCTAGAGCTGCTCCTCACTCAGAGTGAAGAAGCAGAGTTTCTCTGAGGAATCTTCAAGTCTCCACTTCTTATAGAGGAAACAGGGATAAGTAGCCATGGGCAAAACACTCATACATTTGAATCATTCTTCTCTCTGTTGAATTTATATAAAACAGTGTCTAAACTTGGGATATGAATCACGCTTTTAGACCTGACATTTAGTATGTAACAATCATGATGTCCAAGGCAAGAGTCTTTTGTGCATGGGGGTTGAGAAACCAAATAACAAACATGACTCAGGAGCAGTCCATCAGCTTGTGCCTTGCTGCAAAGATTTAGGAGCAAACTACCTTATCACTGTCCTCACACATAGGACAATGAGCACAAATGACCAAGGCTGCTATGTAGAGCACTACCATCACCCTTTGAGACAGATCTGCACAGGACACCACTCACCCATTTGAAAACTTTTGCCTAATAGCTACCTCTTGAATCTGCACTTCTCGCTTTCTGTCTTATTCAGAAAAAGTTAAGATTGTTTACTTACATGATGAATAAAGCTGCCTCCAAATTTGAATAGATGCTCTGTGGCTCTAATCAGTTCATGGAATGTTTCATCCTCTCTGGAGAAACGATGTCCAAAAACAACAGCACAAATTACATTTGAGACAGAATGAAAGAGAGGAAAAGACGGATCCAGGGGCTTCCCTGCAATGATAATAATAAATGTCACTGTTAATCTCTTCTATTCTGCTATAGTGAAATGAGAGAATATTATAGGTTACCCGAAGAACTTTCAAGAAAGCATTGCAGTTCACAGAGAAGCAGCAATCTTACAAAATTGTAGTGTCAAACTGATTCTTCACAACTATGGTGCAATTCCATAATCCCAGGAATGTGTGACACCCTAAAGAAATGCCAAATGTGTAAAATATTTTATAATATGATAGCTCAAATTTAGAGGTCAGAAGGTTTGCTGTCTGATGAATTCAAAATAGATCTCAAGCATGGGAAGGACTGAAAACACTGTGGTCAAAGGGAATGTGAGGGGAGAACCATAAGAAGAAAGGCATCCTTATGCAGTAAAAACATAAATACATGCAAGGCTACTATATTTTTTCTGACCTTGCTAGAGATGTACAGCCTCCAGGAACATAAAATGTCATAAACTCCTCTCAATCAATTGTGTCAACAAAATAATAACTAATTTTAAAGCAATTACTTGAAAAACTAATCTCAAAAAATCTGTTTTGTGACTCCAGAATAAATCATGATAAACTATATTTATGTATGTACTGACGCAACTGTCCAACACCCAATGCACAATTCTGAATAGCAATTTACTGTTTAAGCTTTTCTTTCCTGCACACGAGATCACAACTCAATCTCTCCTAGTTCTTAAACCATGGGATTGAACTAGATTTAATTACTTGTTAATGATAGAATGCTAGCCACAGCATGTCCTGATTGACTGTGCCTTTGCATAATGATCAGTATTGGGAAATCCAACTCACATGCTCCTAACTAGGTTGATCAAAGTAAAATGTTGTAATGAAGACAGGATTATAGTCACTGCTTTACAGAGTGCATTCAGCCGGCATTACAAGACTTAATTCATCAGATAATGCGTCCATATCTTTATGGACCGGCACCATGCCCTTGAGGCAAAGAAGGACAACAGAACCCTGGGCTGCATTAGGAAAGGCATTGCTAACAGGTCAAGGGAGGTGATCCTTCTCCTCCAATCAGCATCGGTGAGACCCATCTGGAGTGCTGCGACATCAATATATTGGAATAAGTTGAGCAAAGGGTCACAAAGACAATTAAGGGATTGGAGCATCTGACGTAAGAGAGGTTGAGAGGGCTGGGACTGTTTAGTTAGGAGAAGAAAAGGCTCAGGGAAATTTCTTAAATGTATATAAATATCTGATGGAGTGGAATAAAGTACATGGGGCTATAGACTTTTCTCAGTGGTACCAAGTGAAGCAATGGGCAAAATTTGAAATGCATTAAGTTCTGACTAAACATAAGAAGATTTTTAACTGTAGGGCTAACTGAACAATTGAAAGAGGTCACTCAGAGTGGTGGTGAAGTCTCCTTTCTTGCAGATATTTAAAACACAACTGGGCTCAGCCCTAAAAATCCTGCTGTGATTAACCCTTCTACGAGAAGGAGTTAGACTAGACCATCTTCAGAGCTCCCTTTCCACTTTAAGCATTCTATGATATAAATAATAAATAAGATCCACTTTTGCTTCCCAATTTTAGTAGCTTTATGAGTAACTTTGAACAAGAATAGTCCCCCACTGGGTTTGAAAACACAGGACTGGTGTCTTTGCATTTTCAGTCCATTCCACATAGACTCTATCAGACCCTGCACATTCTCTTGTGGAACAAAAGCTACCCTTGATTTCAGAGCAGTACAGAGAAGTTCACTAAAGACATCAGGCTAATAACAAAAATGAATCTGTATTTTTTGCAAAGATACCTTTCATACTTGTAAAGAAGGCTACAAGGTAGTGGGCCTCTTCTTGAACTCGATGCTCCAGACCTCTTTTCCCAAGACCAAGGTTGCGTAGAGTCCTCAGTGCAAACCTTCTCTGCTGCTTCCAGGTGTGACCAGTTGCCAACATAATCCCTGCATCCATCCAAGGAAGAGCTTGTTATCATGCTAATATTTATTATAGACAGAGACTACATTAAAAGATTTACTAAACCACAGCATATAATGAAACTATTCCATTGCCTATGAACACAAAGACTCAAAGGAACAGCTATGACATGTAAGCATGTGGGCAGGGCTAAAATGGACAAACTCAGCTGGGTAAGAAGACTTGCAGGATTAAGCTTGATCCGAGACAAACAGTTATCTCAGAAAATTTGACACCTGCTTCTCTAAACATTCTCTGAAATGCTTGCTCCCACTCTCTTCTATGCTTGGAGATCATCTGACCAGTGTAATGATTCTCATGAAGGGAAAAGGGCAAAGCGTCCTGACTGTCCACACTCAGGGGGAAAAGTTCCTGTCCACAGGGCAGAAAAGTTCAGTACTCGGGGTTTGCGACAAATATCTTCAGAAGAAATTAAAATACATTAACAGGATCTTTAATGTAGTGTAAGAATCACCAACGACTGAACAAATTCAATTTAGAAATATTTAAGGAATTCATTTCCTTAAAAAAAGCCAACTTCTCAAGTAAAATAAAGGTTGCTTCATAATGCAGGTGTTCATGAAAATCAGGAGTTTGTGAATTTCCAGTATGGTTGGGGAGAATGAAACCTACAAGTTGAAACAGAAGTGCACTGAATCTCTAGATGCAACTGTAAGAGTAAGAAAATATTCACAAAGAGAAGGGAATGGGAAAAAGGTCTCACCATCAAGGTCAATCTTCAGTTGCAAATGTAATGATGGGAGACAGCAAGTCCAGGACAAGGAAGTGTGCTCTTTCCTGTTCTTCTCCACTTCTCTGTGGCATAACCTACCACTGTCTCATCTTATCACCTCTGAATATAATCCAGTGAATATTTCACACAAGGATTTATGAATCTTTTTTCTTTTGCTGGTCTTTTCCTACTACTACTACTATCCAAAGGCTACTTCAACCCCTTCCTACTTTGCAGTTCACCTGGCAGTCATTCCTCATAGACAAACCCTGCCACTGTGGTACCTTTGGAAGAGATTACAAGCTACATAAGAGCTGCAATTTGTCAAGACAATGTTTCTGTGCAATATTTAGGACAAGAAATTCTCACCTTTTCCTTTAGCCATTGCTCTGAAGAAAGGAGACACTAGCCTCCCAGAAACATCTTCAGGGTGCATGGTCATACCATCTTTAACTGCTTGATATCCATTCAGCACAATCACTGGGGCCCACCCAAACCATAAGGTGAATATGTTGCCATGAATTTTTGCCAGCTATAAATTGGAGAGAAGCCAGGAAAGCACAGATGAAATCACATATACTTCAAACAAACAGAGGATGAACCTGTTTTTACACTGATTACAGGACCAGCCCTAAGGTGGAATGACGTTCTCCACCTTTCCCACATGAATACAATTATCTGTGAGAAGGCATGAACGTCTTTTCCAGTGTTCACTGCTGGAAACAACTGAATATTCCAGCTTTTTCAGATCCACAGATCTATGCCAAGAAACATTAGGCAGCTTTTATAACACTATATAAACCAAGGCTCAGTTCACAGTGATTCATGTGATAAAGGGTATTTTCTATACATTAATTTCTTTAAAAAGGGTTTCTATGTTTTGCACTGGTAAAGTGGCACAAAGGGAACAAAGAAATGTCAGAGGAGGAACTAGCTTGTAAAGACTGGACCAGTTACTTTCTTCTTTCCCCCCATCCGTTTGCATTTTTAGGTACTGGAACTTGAGTACGACCATTCTGGCTCACAAAGTCCTTACTTCCTGACTGAACCTGCCATTTTGTTGGAATAACTGATGTGCCTCGTCCAAATCAGTAACAGAAGTCACTGGAGTTGTCTCCTGAGAATATCGAAAACAATGTGAGAACCAATAGAATGAAATGTAGATGGCTTTGTGCACAGAAGTACTCCTCACAAAAAGTCTGTGGAGATTTTTTAGATCTTGTCAATACAAACAAGCCTATATACATATAGAGCATCTCAAGTGTCTATTTGCTGCTCAAACTAGAGAGTGCCAGTGCTCAGAAAGCTAAAGATCCATGCTGTGAAAATAATTTTTTTTTTAATAGTATTTCTTTTCCCTAACAGCAAGTTTGCTATATTATTCCTAAAGGTATTTAATCCTAAATTATATCAAGTTTCACATGAATTTGTCAAATTTAGTGTTAAGGGATAATGGAAGGTTATCAAGTTTCACAAGAATTTTTCAAATTCAGTGTTAAAAGGTGATGGGTTTAAGCATCAGAATGATTTTCACACATTCAGAACTTCCAATACCAGTTTTAGTTTTATTATCTTGGCAAACTATGCTGCAATGACTTTTTCTTATTTTGCCAACCAAATCAGCAGTTCCAAACCAAACCAAGTGCAGTATCATTGTGGCTAGTTGACAATTACAGTATGTTACCAATGTAGTTTTGGGAGAGGATGTTTTCACATAGCAAATAACATGAGAAATGGGAAATCACAAAGACTCTTAAACAATTAGGAAATCTGAAAATAAATACCTTCATGAGGAGATCACGATTAAACTGAAAGTTCAGCTGTATCAAGGTCCCAAAAATTGGGAGAGGGGTTGGTCCAGGAGGAAGCCGTCTCCGTACTCGTTGCAACTTAAAAAACTGCATAATTAGAAGAAATACAGCCAAGGCTATAAGAACTTGACTTATTGTTAACATTTTAATGGCTGCTTTTACCAGCTTGTCTTTATTGAAAATAGTCTATTGCAGCTATTAATGCTAGTTGCACAACCAGTTTTTTCATAAGAGTTTAATTTTCATAAAATAACTATTCCCCGCCCCTAACCCTCCCTCTTTATTATCAACCACTCCCTTTTTGTCCCAGTCATTACATTCTGATGCTCAAGCTTGTTTAATAGATGCATACCCCTCTCCCTATTCTCATTGAGATTAATCTTTATCAGATCTGGATCACAGGATTTGTAGAAACGGTGTCTTAAAAGACTAGGGCCAAGATTTTCCAGGCAATGTAGATACACATATCCACACGTAAATTCTCCATCTAATTTTCTGAAACAATTGTGTGTGGTATGTCCTCCTAAGAACACTCCATAAATGCTTTTAGAGAAGCAACAGCCATACATACAAATTAAGCATGAAAATGTAAGTGAATATTAAATCTTGGAGGTTTTACAATGTTTATATATTTTCCATGTATCGACATATCTGGTAATGACAAAGCTGATAAAAGTTAAAAGCCCACATTTATCTTTAGATATATATGCAAGTCTCTAATGCTCAGTCTAAAGCAAAATTTGTTAGGCTTTCAAATAGAATTGAAAACATAACTAGTTTAATATATAACCTCTTCTTTTTTTTTTCCTAGTCTATTTGCAACAGCTAACTTCACTGAGAGTTTTGCCTCCGTCTGAATTTCCCCTTTCAATCTTGACATAAAGGTGAATGCCCTAAAGGATATTTTGAGCAATCATCAGAAAACTTGCCAGAGAAATACAGTAAATGCATAAAGTACATCTAGGATGAAACACACAGATTAAAAAAAATATGGAAAAAACCTACTAGGAATCACGATCTACAACCAGAACTAAGGGCTCCAGTAAGAACTAGTTATGACATGCGTGTGCCATACTCGGTATCTTCAGAATAAAGTCTGCAGCCAAGGCTCTTTGCCAAGCCTCAACACACCGAGGAAGTATAAACCTAGCAACAGTGGAGTTTATGTGCCTGCAATCAGACCATGAAAACCATGTGAGAGGGATTCTGGACACCACATAACAATTCCAGTTGTAGTCCTGTGCTCAGATCTAGATTGAAGTGCTAATGGATACATGTTTCCCTGTGAAAATTGCCCGTCCCCTGAAAGCAAAACTCTCATAAAAGAAATAAGTTTTCACTAGTCTTCTGAAAACCTGCCAAGACAACTTGTGCATCAGCTTGCTTGTTTCAAGTGTCCTGTCTTTGGGACAGAAACTATTTCACAGGATTTGTCACTCTGGGACATCAAACACCCTTATCCAGAAAGAACAGCCTAGAGTTTGCCAGCCCACAGCTTCCAGACCTCCAAGTCATTTAGGCTCCAATCATTGCACTTTGTTACTGCTAAAGCATAACTGATTAATGTCTATTAACCAAGAGAGGGATGTTTCCATGCTTCTTCAAAAGCTTTGTTTGTTTACTAATAAAAAGCTTATTTTTCAAGATACTTGTTTCTAATCTAACTCTCTCCTTCAATAGGGGAAAAAAAAATGTCTTTAAAAAGAAATTCTGATAAGTTTTACCTGCTCTGTAGCAAGTGTAATTTTACAAAATATACTTAAAATTCACCAATTTATCAGAATTTTTCATGTGGCATCAATGTAGTACACTCCCAGGCCTTTTAGATATTCAAAGATTTTCCATCTATATTATTTTTCTCAACAGAAAAAGTAATTTTTGTTCAATGATCTTTTACATGAAGAAATGATCTGTGAAGAAGTTAAGGTGTGGGATTTTCACCACCTCCAGGGCTGTAACCTCACAACAGGACCTCGTTCTTTCTTTCTTTAGCCTTTCAGCTTTAAGTTTTCACAGTACCAGTTATTTCTCACAAATCCAGGTGTCCAAATACCCTCCAACCCCTTGTCAGATTTACCCACATCCTTTGTTGTAGTCTTAACACCAGCCTGAAGCTCCTCCTTCCTTATTCCTTTGTCATCATTTCTGCTAACACATTCCTCTGATAAGGGGATCTACGTCTCCTCTCATGCTCTGACCAGTTCAGGATGCTTTGAAACTTTTTTCCTGGTCATGTTTTCCTGAGGGAGGAAGAAGTCTTCCTGTCTTTTCCAGACTTTGACATTCCCTGCATGATGCCAATGCCCTGCCCTGGCAGCCGTCATGTCCTCCTTCCCCATCTAAAATGGCGGCACACCGCAGGGGCAGGAGCAGCCAGGAAAAAATAAAAGGCAGGAAATGGAGCCAAGTAGAAAGCAGATCAGCACTTGGAGTCATCACCATGCTAAAGAAGGGAGTGGACATGAGGAGGCACCCCCAAGCCCCAGCACTCCTGCATCCCATGTGAGGCAGCCATTGCGGGACGCTGCTCTGTAAGGAGATGTGCGGTTCCCTCCAAAGGGCTGCGTGACAGCTGTGTAAACCATTCAAGTCCGATCCAGCAGCCTGTCTGCCCCTCAGGTTGTCTCCAGGTGCTTTTTTCCCCCAGATCTTTCTGCAACATTTGCCCGTGACAGCTTGGTTGCCTCCCTGCTGCCCACCCAAGATGGCAGCCACAGCCTTCTCTACAGGCTGGCTGGCTCCTAAAGGGGCTTCGCTACCACAGCATGAGGCAGCCACAGGCATCGCATCAGCTGGCCCCTCTGCTTCCTCCTTCACACTGGTCAAAGACCAGTTTTCTCTCTGGACTCAGCTAGACTTTCTCTGTTATCTCTTTACCCAACACCTCCTCCCTCCTTCCTGGGGAACCACATTAAATTCCCATCCTTCCCTCCACCAGGTAACAGTCTAGTGCTTAAATAGAATATAGATGTATTGACATTATATTTATATGGCAAGCAACAAAGATTCAGTTTTAATTCCAATATCCATCTTGGATCTGCAGCTTCTTCAGGGGTATCTTTGTTTCTGCTAGATTTTTCAAGTGTGAAACTCTGAAACATTGGGGTCCACTTAATTTTTCCCAGATATTTCTCTAGGATGGCATAGCTTCTTGAACCATATGTATTAAGCACAATAACTCATCTCCAGCAGTGATTTTAAAGTAGTCAACTTTTTCAAGCCTTTTAGTAGAATCCAGACATTGCAGCATGCAGCCAAAACCCTCCCAACACAACAGGTTTCCTAAATGACGAAGCAACAGCTACAGGGACTCAATCTAACACCAGGGACGTGGAAGATCCTGGGAGCATGGGTTGAGATTCAGAAAACCAAGACAAGGATTGAGCAATTTTTGTTTCTTGTGCAGAAATGGGGATTACATTCTCCAAAATTAAACACATTTTCACAACAAAATGAATGCAGTTGACAAGGCTACTAGCAATAACCTGCCAGAGAGAGAAAGGGAAAAACTGGCACTTACCCACTTGGTCTTCTTTTCTTAAGTTTTCTGATAACCACTCCTTTTTAAAAATGGTATTTTCTTACTGCTTTTAATGACAATAAAGCCTCAGACTGCTTTCTTCAACGATGACATTATTCCCCTGTATCTTCTGGTTGTGAAGATGAAGTGGATGTAATCCATACTGTCATTATCAGCTTTGTATCTTAATGCATACAAAGCAAGGCTGTTAGGGAACATAACTATGGCTACTCAGCATGTAATTTAAGAAACTGTATAAAATAGGGAAAGACAAACAAGTGCATAGTGTAGGAAAGGGAGTAAAACCAGAAAGAGGATACAAGAGCAAATCAGAAAGAAGATGAAAGACAATAGAATGAGGAACACCTGCTGAATCTACATTACAATATATGAGTGAGGTGAGATGAGAATAGGTGGAGAGATTTCAGTGAGGAAAGCATAAGAAGGAACAACAGACAGCATGGGCCCAGACAATATCTAAAGAAAAACTTAGAGATGGAGGACAAAGCATAAGGAAAAAAACTATAGGAGGAATGTGCAGGGAGTTGAAAACAGAGGTGTAAAAAAGCACATTAAATAGAAAGGGGCTACACCAGCAAGCAGCTACATTAGGAGATGAGAGAGGGTAAAGACATGTTCTTCCTCCCTTAGTAGTCTTTTTGTGCATCAGTTCAGACTTGAACTCCGTATCAAGGTCAACGAAATTGGCTAGAGCTCCCTCCAAAGGCAAATAATAAAGAAATAGTATACGAACCAATTCCATATGCATTTGGGAATTATCTCAAGGTACTTCAGCCCTGCCTGGATTCACTATAGCATACACAAAGTGGCCATGGTCCTCTGAAAGCTTATTTAACACCAGCTGCTGTGACAAAGATTGAAGCCAAACGCTGCCAAACTGGGAGCAAAAATTGAAAGCAGGAAGTCATATCAAGCAAGAAAACAACTGAAGAGGATTTTGAAGATGAGATAGAACCAAGGAAAAGAGAGTAGATTGATCTGTGGGGAATAGGATGGCTAGTACCTTCTTATATGTCTGCTCCACACCAGTCCCGCACATTTTTTTTTTTTTCTGCATGGTGGGGACTGCATCCCATCCCAGAAACTCACATTACTCACAGGAAAAGCAGAGTGTATAGTCACCTTGAACTGTTAGTCCCTCTCTGCTCTGTGGTCTTCTACAAATACCATCAGCTCCTGAAGACAGAAAGAGAAAGCCACCGTTTATTTTGTAGTAAGTTCGATTTGCTGCTCTTTCCTTCAGCAGGCACCAGAAAACATGAGGGAAGTGGCACTGAAAGTGGGTGCCCCAGGGAAAACAAGATTGTAGGTAGATCATTTCTTTCCTGGAGTTGTCTCTTAGCCCAGGGATGAAGAGAGCTGGAACGGTGGTATTTCACAATCTCCTCCCTGAAGAGGCATTGCACCCTCTCCTCTCCTTTCTAAAAGGGGAGCAGAGCTTCCGTTGGAGCCACAACACACAGCTTGCATAGCAAGCATGTTCAGAGCTGAATTTCATGCTCTGAAATGTTTGCATTTAATCTAGCACGTGTAGTTTTCCATAGAAAGTATGAACATACACCACAGACTACTACAATGTAAGAGTATGCAGATACGTTTTTATCTCATAGTAGATGACACTACAGGATTACATTCCAATTTATCTAGGAATATTTTGTAATCTACTCAGAT